CAAATTTACGTGTTTTTCTGTCTTCTAATTGGACGTATGTTCGAATGAAAGGAAATGAAAAAAAAAAATAAACGAGACGAAAATATATATATAAGTTTTACGAGTTCAGACTGTGTGCATTACTCTCGCCAATCAGCATACATTCTCAAGTGTTTCGACATGTCAATTGACATTGAGTGATTTTTTGTATCAAGAAAAGATGATTGAAAAATTGACTATGAATGGTGGGAAATGGACCACTTTAGTTTCGGAATAATATACTTGTGTTTCTATCACTGCACAACCTAGATCCACAACCTTTTCAATTCGACGTTCACACATACGCTACATATATATTGATGTGCAAATTTCGATTTTTTTATTCTCCTTCTTCTCCTTCGTCGTCGATTTCTTGGGGGGATTTGAATGTAGATATTGTAGAATATATAAAATAAACATTTGGATTTTTCATCAAATAGATAAAACACCATTTTTTTTTTTGTTTATGAGACACGGAATGCGTTAAATGTCATCTTTAACCTTGAATGCAGCATGCTGATTGACATAGTGGAACTTACACCACCACAAGCACCACCACCATCGAAATGCGGACACAGCCCATTTACTTACGCCAAAAATATAAATATGTGGAAAAAAAAATGATTTTCTGTATAAACTGAAAAATAAAAGAAATCAATGAAATAAAAAGCAAAACACAAACAAAAATTGAATGAATCATAATGTTTATTTGAAAAGTTGGTATTGTTGAATTTCGCTTTTGAATGTGTGACTTTTTCATCAACATACCAAAATCTTTTATATGACAACTTGAAAATACATACTGGCGATATAGTACACAAACACGATAATTACCTAATTTCTGGGTTATTTATAAGCTTTTTTTGTTTAAATATTCTATATGCTTAATAATCCTTTTCATTCACACGAATTTTCTTCATTTTTTTAGATCAAAACACATTCCCTTTTTTGTATACAAATTAAACGGTATGCCGTAATTTATGCTTTGTGTTGATGCAATTGTCATAATTGTTCAAAATTAATTGGAAGCAAATGAAAGAAAACAACTTAAATTAATAATTGTCCAGGCTTTTGAAACTAAAAGAAAAGTTATTTAAATATATTTGACTGTTTTATAGTCAGCATGTCTGATGGTAATTTCCAGTTGGGATCGAATAATACCGATCAAACTGTCACTGGTAACAATATATCTGTTGAAATATCGAAATAGACAAATAAAATTTGTTGAAATTTGACGGCCTTAGAAGAAAACAATAACATACAGAACATGCTGCAAATAATACTAATACAAATTTTATGAGAGCAAAAACCAAATATATAAAGAGACAGCGCAAAAGGCAAATGCAAAACCAGCATAAGAAACACATTTGCATTTTGCGCTGTCTCTTGATATATTTGGTTTTTGCTCTCATAAAATTGCTTAATGTGAAACGTAGTTTTATACATTAAGCTATGGAATAGTAAGATATATATATATATATATATGTTTGTTCAGTGATTTTAGAGAAAACCAGAAAAGATAGAGAGTTCGGGTTTTCGGCATTCGATAGGGCATGAAAAACCCTCCAGACGTATTTTTTATTTTCCCCATAAGTGCTCCCCATTTAATTTTTTCATTCATGGACCCTCTTTTTTGGATTCCACTTTGAAAAATATTTCGATTCCACTCACCATTTATTGAGTGGATAACGAATGGATTCGGGTGGAATTATTTTTCTCCGCAACCTTATTGGGTGGATAAAAGATGGAATAAATGAGTTTTACTTCAGTGTTAATTTGATTACTTTGGATCTAGATGAAACTTGTTGAAAAAAAGTTGGAGACACCCGAGTTACCAAATTGTTTTAGATTCCTTATAAAATTACCTTTCGAATGGTATATAAATTATGGAGTTTCCGGCAGGTTTGATGGCGTTTTACGCTGGCCGTTTGGCCGAAATATGAAAAATTGTGAGAAAAATCGGCTTCCGAATCTCATTGCAAGCAACCTAGTTCTATGATTTTGATGAAACTTTGCCAGATGATAGCTCTTGAAGCCCTCTTTCCAACGGTATATAGCTTATTAGCCAATCAAACTTGTGAATGTGTTTCCCAGGTGGCCGTTTGAGGCCAAATTAGTAAAAATATTGGCAAAATCAATTTTCAAGGTGTAATTTATTTTAAAAAAATTGTGGCAAAAAATTCAAAATATGAATGTCGAGTAGTTTGTTTTTCTTAGTAGTACGGTTCCACGTTTCACATTAAGCTCTACGGCCAAAAACTGGCAGTGTATTTGTATTAGTATTATTTGCAACATGTTCTGTATGTTATTGTTTTCTTCTAAGGCCGTCATTTGATGGAAAATAATACTTTTAGTTCGGGGGAAACTTAAGTAAAGCGGACCTAAACATTTTTTTTTTTGGCAAGAAATTTCGAGTAGATGTGATCAAAATCCAGTTTTTTTTAATTGTAATAAATCGAATTTCATTTGTATACTCCATTTCAAAGATCTATTTGTTGAAATCAATTCGTATTCGTTCTCTTCAGTCCACACAATCATTTCAATAAATCAGCGGAAAAATTCTATGAATGGCTGATAGAATGATTCATTTCGACTAGTTCAATTACAAGTTTGCCGAAAACAAACGAGAAAAAAGAAGGAACTTTACCATCATTCATTCTGACCCTGGATGTCATTTGATCAAAATAGAAATAATAATAAAAAAAATTCTATATAAACTAAAATAGAAATTAATTTTAACTACGACGATTTGCCATAACACTAAAAAATTCGATAATAGATTTCGCGATCGAAAATGATGTAGGTGTAACCTAATATATTTGAATCGCGAATGCATTTGATTTTATCACTTTCAATAGAAAATAAAATTTAGCAAATAATCACTTTGCCACCGAATGAAAATAAGAGAAAAAAATAACTAAAAAATAATGCATGTTGACAAGTCACAACACTGAATTATAGTGTAAATATATACTTTTGTTACATAGTAGAATTTTTTCGACAATGTATCATCGACTGAGGGAAAAAGCGGAACTAAAAATTAAAAGTAAAATTAAAATCACTGAATACATTGGTGGTGCCAATACCAATGTATTTTTATACATATTTTTGTTGTTTTTTCAAACATCGACTGAATATAAAATGTGTTTAAAAATGTTTCGAATTTAATTTTCTTAGAAAAAAGAAAATGCATTGGAAAACTGATAAAAGAACAATGATTTTTAAAAATTAAAACCGATTCATGCAAAAAAAATAAGAATGATCTAAAATAGGTGTCGGTGTACATTATCTGTAATGATGTGCGTGCGTGTGAATGGAAGAAAACGAAAAAAAACATCTCGTTCACATCGTTATTAATTACAATTTACACTAAAAGAAATATTCAATTTGACGGTAGTTGAAATTGTGCGATGTTTTATTTTAGTAGGTAAATAAAATGGCACAGCGCGTTTTTAAAACAAAAGAAGGAACGACCATTATAACTGAAACTATGGTTCTATTGATCATTTTCAGTGAAAATGGAAGGCGCTATTTTTTTTATTTATGACTCAACAATGCAAGAGAAAAACCAAAAAGTATTCCGGTTTATAGATTATTGTGTGAAAAACCTTCGGATAAAGTAATCTCTAGCTACAGAAAGTATTTAAATTGAAATACAAAACCCAATGTGAACTGAACTAATTATAAAGTCAGCCAATGTCAAAATTATACCGTTTGTTCGGAAAAGTTGGCGTATTTGAAAATCTTATCCGACATTTTTTTTGGCTCAATCACAATCTTATTATAAATTGTATGAATCATTTTTTTTCGCGCTGCATGCGACTAACTTTCCATCAATTCTTTTTTATCTCTCTCTTTCATTTTCATACATCAAATTATATAGCTGGCATATAAGACGAAGCCTGATCATGCCCGTAGCTAACAACACCTCTAATGCGTATTCCGAGT